TTCTCTCTCATATTTCTTATACATCAACTCACGATTTTCGAATGGACTCATTCTAGAAACGCCTGGTAAATGAAAGGCAACAAACAACAATAATTTAACCAAGAATATCAATGACATTTATTACCAACAAACCATAGCAACAATAAAGGCGGCTAACAAACGACAATCTTATTAAACCACAAACAACAATCATTCAACTATAGATATGAACTTATCATCACCTCAATTTCACAAAATTAAACTAAATTTTACCTAAACTCACAATAAACATCAAATTTACTAACACAATTTTAACTAAAATTACACGACCATCAATTTCACCAAAAAGTAGTATAATTTTTACCCAATTTCAAGTCAATTTCATCTCATTTTCACACAATTTTAAGTAAATTTCACCAAAAATGCACTCAATTTCACACAAAGAAATTCAATTTCACCAAAAATTAAATTAAACAAAAATAACATCACCGCAAAGAGGAAGAGGAGGTCGGCGGCGGAAGAGAGACGGCTGGCGCCGCTGGGTAGGACAAAGCCGCTGGCGCCGCTGGGGAGGTCAAAGCCGCTGGCGACGCTGGGGAAGACGGCGTGGCAGGCGCGGCTGGGCGGGACGATAGGTGGAGGGTCCGGCATGGCTGGCGAGGATGCTCGTCAGCGGAGAGGACCGTCGTTGAAGGCTGGCGGAGGGGTGGCAATCGCAGGACGGCGGAGGGGGAGAGAGAATCGGGATAAGGTTCAACTGAAGAACGAATGGCTGGAAAATTTTGACTTCATTTTTTACTTTAAAGCTGCGACGGATCTGCGACGGGTGTAAGGTTCCGTCGCAGATTTTAAGGTCAAATTTTGACCACCTTATATTTGCGACGGTACCCAATACACCGTTGCTGGTTTGCGACGGAAAATATATATCCATCGCAGATTATGCTTTTTTTCGAGGAATACAATTCCGTCGCGGATTCGTTGCAGATCTGCTACGAATTTAATTCCGTAGCAGATATCCGTTGCAGACCAGACAAATTCTTGTAGTGTTTTCCATTCTCGATATCCTTATTCAACAAGCTAAGTGTACTTTATTTAAAAAAATACTTGAAATCATAATGTTTTGGAATGAGTGTATACTCAACTCCACACTTCCTATATATTCATATCAATATTTATTACGATTTCGGGACTAGTCCCTAAATAAATTTGATATCGCTTAAATTAGTAAATCAATGTTTGACGGAAATTACTGAAGAAATTCGGTAACTTTTGAGGCGTTCACATACCATTAGGCTTCAAGTTTTCATTTCTAATATATTTTTTACCAAACATTTACTTAAGGAACCCCATTCCATCAAAATGGTTATATGGTTCTTTCGAATTGCAACATATCCGATTAGTGAATATTAATTTCTGACATGAAAGAGGAAGAAAAAAAATTAAGTAGAGCACATTTTTTTCTTGATTGATTAAAAAAGAAAAAAAAGAGAAAAAGGAGAGAAAAGAATAGGATAATAGAAAGAAAATATTATGCATGGGTATGATTTCCTTCAAAAGAAAAGGTCCGTTTGTTGTGTGGAAAATATTTTCTCCATAATGTTCAATTCTAATTTCTTACGTTTCTTGATATAAATAGTAAGAAAAAAAAATTTAAGGAAATTTTTTTTCTTTCAACAAAGGAAATTAGAGAATGGTTTTCAAATATTATCAATAGAGAATGGTTTTTAGAGTAAAAATTTCTTAATTCTTACCAAGCAATGACTCGGAAAAAGTGATGACTTGAAAATCACTTGTCACGTATACCATATATCGTGCATACATAGAACTGATCCGTACAAGCAACGCACAATATATTTGTCACGGACTACGCCGTGACAATATTTGTCATGACCTTTGTCGTCGTCATTGCTTGTTACGGATTTAAGTTGACTAGAAGTCAAACTGTTCTTTTATATAAATTGATCCCAACTAAAATGTGTTTCATTGCATATAATTAATTGTTTAAAAAATAAAATTTCACATTTTTTTAATCAAAAAATTCACATCCTATAAGCATTTAAAAAAAACTCATTACTTTTTTCTATCATTTTATACTACCTATTTAAAATATCTCAAGTCGCAAACTGAATTTCTAGATCTGTTACTTGTGGCGTTAATAATATAGCGCTTCCGCGATGACTTTTGTATAACACTTTTAAAACAATGAGATTAAACCTAAAACTAATTAATTAATTCCAAATCGAGCTAAATTCATTTCTCTCTTCTATTAAAAAAAAAGAAAAGAAAAGAAGAAAGAAAGTGTGATGAATAAGCCCCTGTATGTATGTCTTCTTCACAAATCAATCAATCACAGTCCCTGCCTCTTATCCCCTGGCCTCATAAAAAGTGATGGACCAAATGCACCTTAAAGCAATGACACCATTAAAACATTGCCACCCTTAAACCATTATTATTGGATTATTGGGATGACTTATTAATTAACGAGTGGTCTCAAACTTGTTACGTGCAATCAAAATAGTGAAGACCTTAATTAATATACTCGCAGGATGCAATTGGCGTAGGTGGGGATGAGTTGGAGTTGGGACTAAGCAAGAGGACTTACCGGGGGTTACGAGGGGTAGAAATCATCAATTTTACGAACGGAGCATCGTAGGGGGACAGTGGCTTCCGTGGCCACTGAAATCCAGTGGTCATTGAACCCAACCGAATTAATATATTTAGAAGTACCAAGAGTAGAGTAATATCCGAGTTCGATTCTTGAGAGGTAACTATGCTAAACATAAAGCCTCTGCAAATACCAGCTACGGACTATACTTTTTATCATTAATTTGTGATTAAAGCCTAGTTTATCTTCTTACACGTGACCGTCCGACCAGTTCTGAAGAATCCTCAGGGAATAATTTTATTTTATTTATATGAATAAATGGAGAAGTGTAGTAGAGCCACACATATATAAATGTCTGAAATAAATCTAAGGAAATGCATGTCCATTGATAATGGACAAAAATCTACAGCAGATTCCATGTGACTCCATGCCCAATTGTTTTTTCTTGTTTAATGATATGTCTTAAACTCTGAATTGAACTCTAGCTGGTGGATTTGACCTTTATGCCCTTAATTTTTCATGCATTTTCCATGTTTGATTCATATTCTTCCTCCTTCCCTATAGAGTTTGAATTGTGAAATTTCGTGTTTTTATTTTTTAAATTTGTGCGGAGGAAAATAAAATAGACCAAATAATTATATCTTTAAAAATGGAACTGGAATCTTTTGTTTGAATAAACAAAATTGGAATATTAATTGGGGACATCCAAAAAATGAAAAGATTAAAAAGAGACACAGAGAGTGAAAAACATCAAAACTTCAATTCTGATTTATAAGTAATAAATTATTATAACAATTAGAGTTTATTTTATTTAAAGTACTTCTTTTGGTATTATTTCATTATTTGTTTTTGATATTATGAAGTTTATGTTCTTTTTTTTTATGAAATATGTTATCGTGTTTTATCACTTTTCTGATCCCCGATTTAATTTTTGTCTAGAGCCCCTATCCAAAGTTAGAAACGGTACTAACATCCCTTATCTATGTTCATATTTTCAATAAGATTTTCAAATTGAAGTCTTTGACTAATTTTCAATCTCAATACTTTCGAGTGTACCTCACATCACAAATGGAAGAAAAAAGTATCGTTGTATTAGCCCTTGACTTGAATTAAATAATCAATTGGATTTAATCTTTTAATTGATTCAACCCAAAACTGTCTTATGGCCCAGTCTAGTGATCTCTACTCCATCCAAAAACTCTGTCATGGTTTTAGAGAAGCTTTTTGCATACCTAATTTGTTAAGGTACTCGTTTAGACGTTCAATCCTAGTGTTATTAGTCTGCAGTCTAGTTTTCGATATGAAATACATAACCAATGGTATGTTCCCCATTTAACCCGGTTGTTCATCTGGAAGCCCATACACAGCGACTCGGAGTCCATCAGGTGTTGCTGCTGCATTTTCAAATATTTGTTTCAATGGGGAGAGAGTCCATTTGCAAGTGGTTAAAAATTTAGATTCAAAATGATCCGGTTGTCCATTTGAGGGGGCGAGTTAGAGTGTACCCCACACCAGAAGTTGAAGATAAAAGTTATCGTTATATTAGTTTTTGAGTTGTATTAAATAATCAATTGAATTCAAACTTTTAATGTTGTCCAGTTCAAATGTCGTCTTATATTCTTATGACCCCATCCAATAACCCTCATCCCATCCAACATTTTTATCATTTTACTCTCTCCGTCCCAGTGTATTTGTCCAGTTTGACTTTTTCGAATCAAACTGGACAAACTTTGAGATTCAATTAAATAAAACCGTAATATATTTTAACATAGAGATAACTTTATTGGATTTATCGTATTGAGAACTTTCAAAATTGTATTTCATTATGCTAATATGCAATATAAACTGATAGTAATTGGAGTTCAAAAAAATCAAACTGGACAAATACACTGGGACGTAGGTAGTATTATACATAGAATTGACAAACACGAGTTTTTGACATCGCTCAACACTCGGTTCCATATAACATACTATCTTCGTCCCGGGAAACTTTTTCTGCTTAATGTTTTTGTTAAACAGTGACAGTCTTTAATCATAAATTAAACATAATTTAAATAAATAAAAATTATATTATAATATTTTCACAATTTGAGCTCAGGAGTATTACTATTTGATATAAAAAAATCAAAACAAGAATTTTTGTGGAATGGAGGGAGTAGTTGGTAATGAAGAATAATACTCCCTCCGTCCCATAAAACATGGGATGTTTTGCTTTTTGAAGAGATTTAAAGGGAGTATATTTTGGTATTGAATTTCCAAAAATGTCCTTTGATGTGATGGGTAAAAGTAGGATTTGATGGGTAGATTATTAGTAAAAGGGTATGATGTGATAGGTAGGGTATGAAAAAGTAAGGGGTAAAATTGACTTTTTAGTAGAAATGAGAAGTGTTTTATGGGACAGATGCAAAAAAAAAGAGAAAGGTTTTATGGGAGGGAGGGAGTATAATTGAAGCTTGTACTTTAATTCCACTGTACCTTTACACACGAGTCCAACGTACAAGTGTACTAATGCCACTACTAATTACTCTGCCTAACCCTCCATGTGCAACGCCAAAATCAAACTTGTATAAATATATATGGCTCCCCCCCTGCAATCTCATCATCATCAAATATATCTCAACAAAAACATGCCTTCCTCCGTCAAAACCACCTCCCGCCTTTCCCTTGCCATGGAGAGAACCGGCAAATGGTATATATATATATGTGTGTGTACTCTTACACACATATATAAACTATTAAATATATATATTCATACATTCACCCAGGCCACTATATATACACACACACACTAACCTCTTGGTTTTAATTACTATTTATTTATTTACAGGGTTTTTTCTCAAGATATTCCAACTGATGTCATTGTTGTGGTCGGAGAAGCCGCCTTTTCTCTTCACAAGGTATATTTTCTCAAAAAACATATGTTGACAAATTTGATGGAAAAAATGATTCAAAAATGGCCCGAACATATTCGATTTCATGCTTTATTAATAAAATTGATGGCTCATACTTCTTTAATATTTTCCCCAAACCCTTACCCCTCCACTCCTCACCCGGAGAGATGGGACTGGGTGGGGGCAGGGAGGGCGGCTTGGGTGGAGGTTTAAAAGAATATGAGCTACTCCCTCCGTCCTAAAACGTTCTTCCTGTTTTTGTTTACGATTATAGATGTAAAATTTTCAAAATAAAATTCAATTCAATTTATTTGATTATAGATGTAAAATTTAAAAATAAAATTTATATATTTAAAAACTACATCTAAAATTCTATAAAACAAGTGGTGAAAAAAAGTAATTAACGAAAATAAGTAAAGAAAATAATTAAAGTTTGAGCGTGTGAATAATAACTGAGAAAAACATTTTATGAGGGGGAGAATATTAAAAATAAAAATTTGACCTGCATTGGGTTCAGTTATGATTTGTTGAACAAATAAGTGCAGTTCATGCTGGCGGCAAAGAGTGAATACATAAGAAGGTTGATCCTAGAGAGCAAAGAAGCAGATCTAACCAGGATAGATCTGTCCGCCTTACCGGGAGGCTCCGATGCCTTCGAGAAGGCGGCCAAGTTCTGCTACGCCGTCAACTTCGAGATCACGGTGCACAACGTCGCCGCTCTCCGTTGCGCCGCCGAGTATCTTCACATGTCCGACGACTTCTGCGACAACAACCTCGTCGGCCGCTCCGATGATTTCCTCGCCCGCGTCGCCTTGTCTAGCCTCTCCGGCGCCCTCGCCGTCCTTAGATCTTGCCAGGATCTCCTCCCTCTCGCCCAAGATCTCGGAATCGTTCACCGATGCGTCGAATCCATCAGTGCAAAGGTAATTAATTGTGTGCCATTTTCAGAGTTTTTGAAACCAATTTCAATCCAAATTTAATGTCAATTATTCATTTTCAAGTATAGTTTTCTTAGACCCAATGTAAATTAAACTAGGTTTTTCATATTATTATGTTCTATTTTGTTTTAGGCATGTCTAGAAGCTAATTTTCCGAGTAAATCGCCTCCGAACTGGTGGACGGAGGAGCTAAGCATCTTAGACGGTGCATTCTTCTCAAAAGTCATTGATGCAATGAAAGCACGGGGCGCCAAACCGCTAACGGTGGCAAGGGCCATCGTGACATACGCAGAGAGGTCGTTGAACGACCTCTCTGCAGACAGCAAAAAGTCAGAATTGGATGATTCTTGCGTCAGAACCCGACAGAGGGAGCTTCTCGAGGTGATCGTATCGCTCTTTCCCTCCGAAAAGACGGCATTTCCGGTCAACTTCCTATGTTGTCTCCTGAGAACTGCTATCGTTCTCGGAGCTGGCATCGCGTCTAAGAACGAGCTGGAGAAGAGGATATCGGCGATTCTGGAACACGCCACGGTTGACGATCTTCTAATCTTGTCGTTTACCTCTGACGGGGAGAGGCTTCTAGATTTGGAGAGTGTGAGGAGGGTTGTTTCTGGGTTTGTGGAGAAGGAGAATGGCGTGCTGGGGTTCAACGGTGGGGGTGGCGACTTCCGGTCGCCTGGAGTCTGCTCCACGGCGGTGCAGAGGATTGCCAGGACGGTTGACGCTTACCTTTCGGAGATTGCCAGCCACGCCGAGCTTAGCATTTCTAAGTTCAATGGAATTTCAAATTTAGTGCCAAAGGGTGCTAGGAAGGTGGATGATGATCTCTATAGAGCAATTGATGTCTACTTAAAGGTGAATAATATTTGAAGTTCTAAACCTATCATAATCTTACAATGACAAGTTTGAACTTTTGATTGAATTAGTTCTTTCTCCCCAGGCACATCCAGAGCTAGATGAGATTGAAAGGGAAAAGGCGTGCAGTGTGATGGATCCACTGAAGCTATCGTACGAGGCGAGAGTGCACGCTTCTCAGAACAAGCGACTCCCGGTCCAAATAGTCCTCCACGCCGTGTACTATGACCAGCTGAGGATCAGAAGTGGGGGCACGGAGGACTCATCAGCCAACACGCCAAAGGCCACGAGGAGCCATTTGCGGGCAGACGTGTCGTTGGTGAAGGAGAATGAGGCGTTGCGGAATGAGTTGTTGAAGATGAAGATGGTCATAACCGAGATGCAGAAAGGGCGTTCGTGTAATAGTAATAGTAATAGTAGTATTAAAGGGAGCACAAGTGGAAATAAGAAGCAAACGTTCTTCTCCACAGTGTCTAAGAAGCTGGGGAAGTTGAACCCTTTCAAGCAGAATGGATCAAAGGACACATCAAACATAGAATATGATGAAGATGATTGTGGGGTGAATGTTAATAAGCCCAGGAGGAGGAGATTTTCCCTTTCATGATCTATCCATATCGATCTCAAATTAGGTTAATAGGGAACTGGGATGGTTTTAATTACTTGTGCACATTTAATTTGGTGTTTAGTTATTAGGTTTGTGGGGGCTGTGTGATTCAACAACTTTAATTAATTGTGTAGTGATTTGAAATGATTGATTTGTTGGTGAGTGTATGTTTGGATTGGATTTTGGGGGTCGAATCACTAATTCACTGCTTTATTGGCTCTATGGTTGTTCAAAACCATAAACTCTGGGGTACCCGGGCCGTATACTTTTGTCAATACTACATGCGTCCCGAAATATTCTTCTCATTTAACTTTTTTTTGTCAAAATTTGTAAGTTTTGACTATAATATGTAGAAAAAATACATTGTATTACGATATAACTTTGATATGAATATATTCATTTTGAAATATAGTTTTCAAATATCAAATTTTTATAAAATATATCTATGTATAAATAAAGATATTAGTGGTCAAAGTGTAATCTTGGAGACCATAAAAAATCAAATGGGAAGAAAAGATTTTGGAGTAATTTGATGGAGTAGTACTATGTACGGTAGATTGAAAAAGTAATTTTTATTCTCTTAAATAAATCAACAAAATTAGAGAAGATTCAAGATTTAATACTTTCTTTCTCAAAAAAGGTTCTCATTTTAACTTGACACAAAGTTGAAAGAAAATAAAAATGTGTGGTTGACTGATAGAGATCAAAAGACTATGAATCATTTGAAGTTTTTCCGTAAAAAACAGAGTAAGTTATTTTAAGAACATCCCAAAAAAAGATAAAAAGTATCTTTTTGTGTTGCGGAATTTACTAAAGTCGAATAAATGAATAATAACACAATTTCCTCAAATAAAAAATTATAGCATAACATCTTTGGTTGTTTTTGAACCAATTCCAGTTGTTATTTCAACACTTATACCTATAGCCATATTGGCGAGCCCAAACATTGACAGACATCACATTTAAGAATTTAGAAGAGAGAGAGAGAGTTATTACTCCGTATGAGCTATATATTTCATTCTTAAGCTCGTAATTTAATTTTGGAAGAGCCTTTATTTTTTTCTCGTGTTGTTGGGAATAAGTTTGTAAATGGATAACAAAAAACTTGATTATCGTCGGCATTCGTATTCGTTTAGACAGAAAATATATTTGTAGCCGTTAAAAGCGGTTATTGTCCGTATACGATTAGGAATATCCGATAGGTAAACGAATACGAATTTGATAATCATACATCAGATACGTCTATAATCTGCTTCGCAGAGATATCTGTTTAAATAACTATTTATCCGTATATACGATCTATTATACTCCGATATTGATGGGTATATCCTTATACCCGACCCGGACAACCGAAAGGGACAGGTCAAAATATGACCGGTCACTTTTATCAATCACCAAATGAGGTTAACTCTTCGATTGGGACGGGTCAAAAGTTGACCGGTCACTTCCACTAAAAAAGTGACCGGTCACATTTTGGGCGATAGCCAAAATGTCGCCTAATGTTACAAAGGACATTCTAGAAGACCAGAGACGGGTTGAGCACAAAGAATGACCGGGTAACTTTTGAGAGAAGGTGACCGGTCATATCACTTTACTTGGCTAACATTGGTTCAGTCTATTAGGCATGGTGAACCACGTCAGAGGTCAAGGGGACACCCCGCCGCTCATCCATCACGAGGCACACAGTGAAAGGGATGTTTGTCATTTTGCAGGGTTGAT